TTTTGATATTACCTTGAGAAATGTTGCGATAGTGAGAGAATCCATTCTGAGGCAAAGCTGATTTGGTTTGTTGGACAGGCTTTATTAGCTCGCTGTGTTTCTTTAATTGGATTTGTAATCTTTTTTTGCTTTCGTAAATAGGGTAAATATTCTGGAGAGATGCTTTAGTGTGAAATGATCCATTTGTCTACAAAAGGCAGTCAGAGAGTGGCTGATCCGAGCGTGCAGAAGAATGAACCTCCCATGAAGACATGACAAATACTGTTACATGCTTCATCTAGCAGCCTTATCCTCTCTCACACGCGTATTATGCCCACACACAAACACACACACTCGCAGTATAAATCAATCCAAATATATTGTCCTCCCCAAGTGTGTAGCTTCTTCTTGCTTATAACCTCATTACTATGAGCATTTAAGAGTAATTAATTTGGGGAAAACAAATCAACAGCATTGCCATGAACAATCACAATCACGGCCAATTAGTCATATGCTGTATGTCTTTATATCTTTACCTGTAATTATAGCCTATTGCAACTCCTTGGCCAACTGGTAGGATTTTTTTTTAAATGCTGATTTTAGTGGTAAAACATAGTATTGTAATTCAGTATGCAACCTCTGAGATATGGCGCATGATTGACAGACGAATGAATCAATAAGTGGCAGGAGACTGATCCGTCATCCCTCTTGTTGTCATTTCATTGTGGAGGACAAATAGTAACACGGTAGATAAACATCTGTGCCAGAGGTGATAAATCCTTCATCGGTATTGCGCTCCACATGCTAATCTGTTAACATACATTGTTGTGGCCCCCCAGCTGCTTCCTTACACAGTAACAATCCTGTGTCCCTGTAGGTTCTTGTCAGGTTTGCAATTAACCTTTTTCAACACCGTAAAAAAAATTCACATTTCAAATTTAAACATGATGACGAAGGCCCAGATAAGCCGCTCTCTGCATCAATGTCAACTTGTGAAGTTTCATTCATTGCTATTCATCGGTGTGCGCTACTACTTCCTGGCTTAGTCTATGGCACGTTGTGTCTTGTAGACACACTGTGTTGGTTATAGTTGGTAGTTTGTTAGCCTCGAGGAGGGATTCATGCTGCGGATTACATTGAAAGGCCCGGAATACTGACTCCTTTTTCTCTGGCTTACCCGAATGGAAAGGTGCACGAAGGCATCTGAAAAATGTGTTCACAGTTGAGGTTGGTTAAGAAAGAGTTATGGGTGGCCTTTGTCAACCTTAATAGAGCACCAATAAAGATCTAGATAAATAAGAGCACATTCAGAAAATACAGAAAGATATGAACAAACACACACCATGCAGTAACTTGTGTATTTGTGTGGCTTCTATGGATACAGTTTTATCAATACGCCCTTCAGGTGGGCCTTTAGTATTAGGGGTCCCTGGCATTCTGTACTGTATACAGTTACCAGTCAATCATCAGCAGATGTTCCATACCACCAGGCTCTCCAGACCAATAACGACTGAGGGAACAAGCTCGGTCTGTGTGTTTCACTTGAGATGGAGAAGGGTCTAACAGTATCAAAGCTGTATAACCCTGTGGGGGGGGGCGTGGAGCCGCAGCACCTCTGCAAGTATCCTGCACGTTTACACGCCAACATCAGTATCCAAACCACAGAACCTCACATACAGAAACCAACTGTCAAATACAGCGAGGAATGTGTTGAGTCAAGTGCCGGTCCTCTTGCATGACACAAGTGATGCTTTGTTTGAGTGGAAAACAGCCTCTGTCATTGTTGGATCCTCTTGAGCTTTCAATTATGTATATTTGCTCCCAAATGTTGTACATTTCACCTGTCAGAAAACACATTTATTTTATGGGGAGCCAATACAGAGGACATTCTGTAAAAAAACGGTGTTCCTCATTTGTCAGATTCACTAACATAAATATAATAGAATGACTTCTCAGGCATTGTCTATTTGCATTGAGGAAAGCTTCATTAAACCCTAAAAAATGTGAACTGTTGCTCTTTAATAAAATTATGAACTGCTGCATTTATCAAAATAATCGTATTAATGATATGAGCAACCTAAGAATACTGCCTACCTCGCTGTGTGTAAGATCTTTTAGCTTTTATGGATCAGGCAGTAAAAGCATTCTGTGTGTAACATTTATGTGTTCACCTTTTTTCTAAAGACAAAGTAATGAATATCAGCTGATAGCGATCAGCGCGCCATCAGTCTGAGTGCTACTATTTACTTGTAATGAGTGGTCATTAAAAAACACTGCTGGTTGTAAGATTTGTTTTTTACAAGATTTCTTATTTACTGTACATTGTCTCCAGTTGCTGAGTGTATATCAGCGTATTTAACAACTAGGGGCTGGTATCATCTGTCTCCTGTCTACATGGGGATCAATACCATCTTAAGCAAGATGGGTTTTCAGAGACACATGCACATACATCGAAGAGATCTGTAAACATCATCTCATACATTTGTAACAGATACGTCAGTAGCATCCATTATCTTGCTCTTGCTCTGTCTTTCTCTTACCCACAGAGGACAAATCAAAAACATATATTGCCTATTTGTGTCAGTCTCCCTCTCATCTTCTTTGCTCTCCAGTCTGTCCGTGGACAGACTCACAACAGGACAGATAGACAAACTAACCCCCCACACACACACGCTAAAACCCCCTCTCTCACAGACACTCAGTCTCACAAACGCAGAAAATCGAAATCACAAATCGGCTTAACTCTCCCTGACACGTCTGTGAATTAAGCCTTTCCGATGCTCTCCCTTTCCCATTATAAAGGCATTGTCAGAGTCTGAATCAGTAACAGGTAGCCCACAGCTCCTGCTGCTTCGCTCTCGCTCCTCTCTTTCGCTGTCCTTCCCTCTTCCTCGCCTTCTCTCTTCTTCTTTCTCTTTCTTTGTCTTCTTCTGCTTTCTCCCTGTGTGTCCCTTAGCCTTTCTTTCTTCCTCCCTCTCCATGTTCCTCTTGTCTTGCTGTCGTCTTCTTCATGACCTCCATCAGCTCTCTCCCTAATCATCCTTCTCCTGTCCTCACACAGTCTTCTCGTTTCCCCTCGACTAAGTACTGAATATTCTAATTTTTTCAAAGGAATATTAAGCTACATGCACTAGGTACTCTGCAGGTACAGATTTATTTTACACAAAACAGATAATATAAGTTTATATACCTGTTACAATAAGTTTACATTGGGGTTTTGCTTGTTGTAATTAAAGAATCCGTATTGCAGGATTGCACCAGCTGTTTGTAAGGCCTCACTTTATCATCACCATGTTTTGAAGTCTTTCCTGAGATCTTAGTAATTACTAGCTAATTTCAAACTAGTCATTTTCTCAATACGTCTGCTCTGTTATAAATAAGGCAATGTGAGTACAGCTGCTTAAGTAATGTCTTAATTGGCTGCAAGTAAATATATATTGTATTACCTCTTATTAGCAAATGTTGCCAGGTGGTCAATTAAGCTATCTGAAAGTGACACCTGGGTACTTGGAGTGAATATTTAATAACAACTGATTTCTACGCTTAAGAACATTTATAAATAAGGTTATAAAATAATAATGGTATTACATTTCTTGCTCAAAAATAACTTAAAAAACAAGTCACTGCTTGTTCCCCCTAAAGCTAAGGTGGTTGAACACAGCCTGAAAGATGAAGCCCCGACAAAAAATGCTTTAACAATCCACAATGAATATCACAGCCCAGCAATCTGTTTTAAATTACTAGTGTGTAAATATCCACTTAGTAAACACTACATTTTAATGAGAAATACAAAAGAGCTAGTGTAACTGTTATACTTCTTTAGACAGTGATCACAGCTTCACAGAGTTTTTTTCTTTTTCTACTGAGGTCAAACTCCGGTAAGGATCACATGAAGTTTGCATATCGAGTGGGATAGGGAGAAAGATGTTTGAGGTAGAAGAAGGAGGAAAGGGAGAGAGTTAGCTGACTGTGTTGTGAATGCAGGGAGTAGACAAGCCGAGCGATTCTGACAGGCTGTGTCTGCACAGTTTGTTCTCCAATAGGCCCACACAGAGTCACCAGCGGGGTGCACACACACACACACGCACACACCAGCCTGCACTACTCGAGTTGCAGGATTATATATACACACACACAGACACAGTCACAAAGTGGAAGGAAAAAGGGCTTGGTTTTGAACGTGTTCCTCCCGAGGATTCAGTGCTGGGGAAATGGAGCTATCACGGCAACGGTTGAAAGAGCAACAATGGTTTCATCACTTTCCCTCATGTACCACTGCACTGTGAAAGAGAAGCTTCTAGCATTCTTATCCGCCCGTTAGGGAAAACACGCCACACATTTTACCAAGAGGGGAAGCTCGGGAGTGAGGGAGACAGCATCCTCTCTCAGCAATCAATGAACCGCACAAACCCATATTGTTGATACATCAGCAGCAGATATTGATTATTTTGACAGACCAAAGACAATGGTGTGATCTCAAAAACGTCCCTGAGTCCTGTTGCTGTTTGTTGACACTGTCCCTCTTCTTCTTCTTCTTCTTCTCTGGCTGCGTTGTCCTCATGTCACCCCTTCCCGGCCCAACCCTTTTTTTTCTTCCTCTGTTTTTATTGCTTTGAACTTTTAGGAGTGGCGATTTCCTCAACTGTTTCCCTTCCTGTCCACCTGCTGACTTTCCTTCTCTTTTTCTCACTTCTAACCCCAACTTCCTGCCTTGCCTTTTTAACCCCTTACCACTACAGGACACCACGCCCTTTCTTCTTGCTTATACTGTACACTCGTGTATACTCCTCCTTCGAATGTGTTTGCTTCTTTTCTGATATATTTGTTTGGTTAGTTTTGGTCTTTTTGTTGGGTTTTTCTGTTTTGGTTTGGGTTTCACATGGGCTCCAGAATGATTTTCATCCACTCATGTGGAAGCTAATTAGAACCAGAATAAATAAATAAAATAATATGCACAGTCTGCATCATTTCTTCTGTGCTTCCGTCCATCTGAGTCTCTCCTTGTATTCTCTCTCGTTCAGGGTGCAGTGATCACGCCAGGCATGGACCACACTATGTCCATGCAGCCTGCCAGCATGATGGGCCCTCTCGCCCAGCAGATGAACCATCTGTCCCTGGGCACTACAGGAAGTGTGAGTACTCCTTACTGTGCTACTATGAGCCATGCACATACCAAAACACAAGCTACCCTAGTTGCCATAATCTAGACGAATGACAAACGGCCACAGCAGGAACATTCAGGAACAGCAATAAGAACTAGGACTTGTTATGCTACATACAGTACAAGTTGCTCTGTACTGGGAAATAATAACGCAGCAATTTGCACAGCATTTTTGTTGTAAAATACCATTACAATGGAAAGCACACTTACCAATTTCCTCATGATGTATTATTTTCTAGGTTATAAAAGCAGAATTAAATATGTACAGTGGATCAGTTTTAAGTGGCCAATAATAAACCTATGACTATATTGCATTCCCCTAGGAACAATAAACATTCAAACAACGCACATCCATCATAGAAAGGTGCGCTTTACATTTTGTGTGGCTAGCGGGTTTGCTTTTCACCATAGCAGTTCTGCAAATGAAAATCAAGTTACAGTCTACATATGCTCTCTGAGAAAATTGAGAGGGAGAACTGCAGGTATCCATTACACAGTAAGTTTGGGTCAGAACTCAGGAGGACCGAGTGGATGCCTTTTATCTTTGGGGAACATCATTCATTTGGTTTAAAAACAAAGTACACATTCAGTGGAAGATGGATTTTACATTTCCTTTCAAGAAAGCCAAAGCTACTTATGCTGTCGCCACATGTGCTCTGCCATGGAGCTGCCGTATCATTTGTTTTACACTCCATGCATTCATGGCCAGATATCAAGAGAGCATGTTTCCTCCCTGATCTCCCACATTAAACAGATTTCCTGTGAAGTTCGACAGTGTGACAGGGCCCTCTGTTCTCCACCTTATTCCCTTTCAACCTCTAACTCTTGTTTCTCACTTATACTTTCTGTCTCTCACACGTCAAATCTAGTTTTCCTTATTCCACACACACAGCCGCTTACAGTCACCACCCCAGAAACCAGGAACTCCCCCCTGTTTTAGGATCAAGTGGATTTAGAGGTGTCGCACAGTTCTGAAGCCTGACTTCCTGCCCTAACCCCGCTGCCCCGGGGCAGGCGAGCAGGCAGCTTTTCTCCAGCACTGCGTTTGATCTGTGTGTGTGTGTGTGTGTATGATTGAAACAGTGCTGTATTGTACAGTTACCCATGTGTTTCCAGGTGAGCTGTCAGCGACTGTGACGCCATGTTGGCTCTTTCAGGAATGCCCCCTCCCTAATCTGCCCCAGCTGTGCTAACAGCCAGGATTAGAGACAGGCTAATCTATGATGATGGCTTCTGATGTTTGACGGCTTGTATTATAGGAGAAAGTGGGTTCAGGCACCCACTCTCTTTTTTATATTTCTGCTTTAGTCTCTCTGCCTCTCTCCTTTTCGCCTGCTTAGCTTTCCTGAGGCGGTGTGCTGTGTAGCATAATTTCTCTATGGCTGAGCTGCACACACGGCATGCCACTCTTGATCATCTATGGGAGTTGAGACATGTTTCCTATCAAGCTTTTTCTCAAGCCTGATGTGAGAGCCCTTTCATAATGCCTGATTGAGAAAGTCTGTTAAAAGAGGGGTTAGGAACCGGGATCTGTAACTATCCGTGTAGTAAACTGGACTTGACACCACATACTCTAAGAGCACATTTCTCAAGTGTATACGCATGTGGTGAGGTTTTTTTGATTTCCTCCACTGGTCAAGTGACCTCCCCTTTGCCACCGGAGAGCACCTGCCATGAGAAGCGTCTCCAAAGTCAACAACTTATCACGACTGCGTATGTCCGCTGGAGGGAAAGCCACACCTCAGAATACTCTTGGCTGTTTGTGTGTGGCTGCGGTGTTAGCCTTCTCTCCAAGTCAAGAACCAAATGTTCCCGGTCGGCCCCAGCTGTGACACTGGTGTGGTGACCGGAGCTTTCCGAGAATGCGTGTTAGGCCTGTTAAAAGGGAGTGGCTAGGGAAACTTTGCCTCGTAATAAGGAAGCATGCATCGATGCCGTCTGATGGTCACTGCTTTAGAATTCAGCTGCCTCACCAAAAGTAATTAAATGTTTACAAAAATCTCTTTAGTCCCCTGCTCTATTTGGTGTCTGTGTATCTTGAACAATTTGATTACAGAATGCTAAAGAACCTTAGGCTCAATGTGTATTGATGGCACACCATAAAAATGCCATCCATGCTCCTCATTGATTTATTTGTCTATGTTTGGTGTATATCGCTCGGTTACTGATTTATTTACTATCTCTGCGCTCTCACCACTTAGCAGGAGTCTATCTGTCATGCTCTGTGTTTACTCATGCCTGGTAGTTGCTGTGCACGTGTGGATGTGCACATGCTCTATCGTGTGCACATTTGTGTATGTGCGTCAGCGACATAGTGTTTGACATGACAAGAGATGACCTTCCCTCTGTGTTCTCCATCCTACTCCTGTCATGGCAAGTAGAACCCAGGTCTCTCTGTTGTCATGGTGACAGTGGTGATTGACAGCTTCTCTGTCTCTGGAAGACAGATTTGTGTGAAGAGCTCCCCTCTATTATCTGGGCTGTTTCCCTTGGATTTCCATGGGGAAGTACAGTGCTGTTCTACATTTTTATAACAGTGCATTGAGATATTTAACTTTAACTCACCCGGGGAAAGTTGACCGAGCACGCACTCTGTAGCTTCACATTCAAACAGTAACACATGTTGACTGCAAGGTGATTCCCAGAGCCAATCGGTAGGAGGTAGTTGTTAAAGGAGTGCTTTTATGCTTTTGGGGGTTTTCCATCCTGTAATGTGTTATATAGGTTTGTACGCATGTAATTGGTCTGCAAAAGTTAAAATCCCAAAGTTCCCTCCAGAGGGAGTTTCTCTCCCACACTCCCCCCCCCCCCCCCCTCCCCTACCTGAAAATCAATTGTAGCCCTTGTATTTACTTCTGACATCACTATGAAACACTCACGCTTCTATTGGCTGGTGCTCCAACGCATGTACATGATAGGCCTAGGGGCAGGACATCTCTAAGAAGTTGACCAATTACAACAGAGTCGTCCAGCTAACCAATCAGAGCAGACTTGGCTCTGGTTTCAGACAGAGGGTGAAAAGAGGTGCTGCAGCACAGGCAGTATGAGTAAAATAAATACCTTTTTGATCATTAAAGCATGGATACATGTCACAGTAAAGGCAGTTTAGTGCTCAACTGGATTTTTTACTGTTAAACTTAAAGCTTCACAACTCAATACAAGTAGCAGTGAACAGAGCCAACCTGTAGATCGGTGGAATTATGTCAAACCTATGGCACAACGGTGTATCATTTCACCAATGTGTGTGTGCTTTTGTGCGTAAGATACAAAACAGGACTCCATAGTGCTAATGTGGGTCAAACTCTCCACAGGGTGGGTTCCTTCTTATAGAGATAGTAAATAGTGAAATAGTATATACTGTAAAAGCCTGCTGATGCGAATGTATTTAAGGAAGTGATTAAAAAGATGATGCTGATTTTTGCCAGCATACAGTAAATCTCTGCAGGCGGCTGTTAACAAAGCCTCGGGGCCAAGATATGGAGAGGCTTTTCATGGTGAGGCAGTACAGCATTGTGATTCACAGCCGCTGGTTTGCAGCTCCAATAGTTCCCATTGTGTAGGAGCCCCACAGCTTAGATCAATAGTCATCAGAGCCCATCCCCACGCTTCTCTGCCATTAATAACCCATCCTGAGCAGCTGGATGCTCTTGCCTTGACCAACTGTTATCCTCTACCTTGCACACGATGTGACAGAACAGCATGTCAACACAGAGGGGACTGATAGATGGAGACTGAGTGACAGACAGAGAGCTGGGTGATGTATTTGAACATGTTGCGCCCAAGTCACCTTTCCTAGAAACTATTTGTAGCTGTGGAAAGCAGAAAGTAAACTGCCCTATCATCCTCATAAATTGTCTAAGTTGGTGCAGAGGCCCAAACCACTGTGGTACCAGAGTGGTTCTATCTACGCTGGTACATCAATTATTTTTTTTTATCCTGCCATTGCTGCATTGCGGTGTGATTTTATACCGTACTTATAGTTGTATGTCATAGAGAGTGATGGTAGAGAAGAGACTTAAGGAGTCTACTCACACCGGCCTCGTTAAGGAACTATTCAGGCCTCCCGTTCATCAAACAAACGCACCCGCCATCTGCTCCCGCCGAAGGTGTGTGTTTGTGTGTGTGTGTGTGTGTGTGCATAGATACAGTATGAGTGGCTGTGTTTGTATGTGACACCATTTATTGCCAATTAGGGATGTTTTATATTGGCTAAACCTGTCCCCTGACTATGGTCAGGGAAGTATTAAAAGGGTTGAAATTGGATAAAAATCATCTTTATCGCCATAGCAACCCATTTCACTGTAGCCAGGCTTGACATCCCTCTAACTTTCCACAGCAGCGACTGCAGAAATATGCCCCGCTCAACCTGCCACATTAAATAGGTTAACTAATGGTTATGGTAGAGGGAAAAATCTTATCTTATTACATGCCCTTGTTATATCTAATTTAAATTCCTTTTGCAGTCCTGCAGCGAAATATAACATTTCAAATGGACATCCTCCGTGTGACAGGAAGATTTTGATATAGCTAATTATCTCCTGCTTCCCTTCATTTGCTTTCATGCAGCCCTCACAGGTGAGTTGACTGAATAAGTTAATGGGAAGGAGAAGCGAAGACTAAAAGTCCTGAGGAAAATTGGTATGCATGGTTTCAATTCACCGAGGAGAAGGTCACTTCAACAACCTGATAGGCCCTTTTAAACAATGGCAGGTTGAGAGCGAGGGAGGGGGAGAGAGCGAGTGACAGGAAGGTGAGAGGGAAGAAGGGATGACACAGAGAGGTAATGTGGTAATGTGTCAGGAAGTCTGGAAGTGCCGCCTCACCCCGTCCGGAGTGTGACAGCACTGAAGGTGTGATAACCTTAAACTCACACACATTCAGTATGAACACACACCAACATCCATCCCAGGGCATCCTCCTGGCCATGTGTAGCCATGGTGGGGGAGTAAATCACCTGTGTCCATGGCCTTTAGCTGCTCTCATTAGGGGTGAGCGGTGGAGCCGTACCCGATCCATTAGCCACGCTGCCGGTAATGACACTTCACCAGCACCACTGGGCCCTCGGCCAAGAGAGGCTCCGCAGCCGGGCAGAGCCCCTCCATTACTGCCTCCTCCTGCATACTGCCGCCACGCTTTTTAGCTCTGGCAGGGGTACTGAGAGGAGAAGGGGAAAAAATCAGACGGAAAGAAAGGGATTGCACTTTCCTTCTTTTTTTTTCTTGGTCCGGAAAAGCAGCAGGAAGACGAGGAGAGATGGAGAGGCAGCCTGGTGGCTTTTATCTGGGATCACATCCGTTGGCGCTGTACTGCAGCATTATCGTTCCAAGCCTCTTTGTCTTTGTCTGTCTCTCACAGGCACTCACACACACACACACACACGTATGTTTCAAACACACAGCTGCATGCGAGATAACTCATACATCCAGATGCACAGTTGGGCAGACAAATAGTGATAAGTCATCTTTTATGCACAGGCATGTGCTAATTAAAACGAAGCGCACACACACTGGCAAATCAGGCTGACACTGGCACGTGTGTTCACCACCACACTCACACTCAACATCCATTCAAAGCAAGTCCCAGAAAAAAAAAGCCTCGCTCTAAGTGCCGTGTCCTCATTCATATTGCATGTAACAGCCCCGTGGCTGTCATGTAACTAAGCTTGTGTCACGTCTGTAAAATGGCCATCATGCAGTGAGCTCGCACCAAGTTAAAAGCCAGGGCAGGCATGTCGAAAGGAATATAGGCCACAGGCAAAAGACCTCCTGCTTTCTCTTGCCTTCCCTCTCTCCCTTTATCCTCCTCAACTTTTTTCTTCATTGTTGTATCGTCTTCTCAGCTGTGGCCTGGTGCGTTTGCCTGCCTGTGAAGTCTTGGTGGAACAGCTGGACCTCTCTCCCTCCTCACTCTCCTCTGTCTCCCTCACACACTCTGCTCTGCTGAGTGCACACATATTCTTTCAGCGCCCTCCGAAGGATGCTGAGGGCGCTGCAGGCTCACATTCTCAATGGTTTCTTGGAGTAATTGCAATTAATGAGACTGTCTGGGGATTTTGGAATCAGGGTTGGAAGTGTTTTTCTGTCCCATATTGGATAGTGATTAGTATACTTGTGTCAGAACTGTGTGTAATATTTGTGTTTTGAGATGTATGCAGGGATTTTGATGCTTGTTCGTCTCTTGTTTGTGTTTCAGTACATGACTGCTGCAGCTGCCGCGGCGCCTATGCAAGGGACCTACATTCCCCAGTACACTCCTGTGCCTCCAACAGCCCTCCCTGTCGAAGTAAGGCTGCACTCAGTACATATCAAAAACCTGTCCATGTTTACCCAAATGGAGGACATCATTACTCCTGACAGCCCACTCCCTTACTCCCACAAGCATTCCCTTTGCCATTTCTAAAAAACCTTCTCACCACATCAACAAAGCCAAACATTAAACAGACGGATTACATTTGAAGCAAGCCGTGAATTGCTCGTATTGTCTCTGAATAAATGGCTTCGCAAATAACAAGGATGAAAAGTGCAAGCAAAGGAAGAAGTGGCAGAAGTTTTATAGTATTCGGGGAAAGACATTTGAAGTGCAGCACGGACTTTGTCACTTCTTTGGGCGGCTGTCTGAGCTGCTGGCAGGTTGGGGCAGGCCAGCCTGAGAAATGATGAACGCAGGAAGCAGGAAGAGGCAGGCCGGCGAGGAGAGCGCGACGGCTGTCTGCCGGCTGACAGCGCGCTCGTATTCAGATGGACTATCAGTCGTGTATCAGATGACAGGAGCTGAAGTGAGACACAGTGCCGGCGGTGCTGTCTCTCTCCCGCCCCCTCCCCACACTCCCTCCACAGCCAGTCCGGGCTGGTAGGTAACAAGAACACACACATCCGTCAGCCACGGAGCTCTGCTTAGCCCACCAGCCACGGACAATGACAGTTTTCCCTTGACAGAGCCATTAGTCCCCTCCCCCCCTTTCTCTCTCATCCCCTCCTCCTAAAGTTCATCATGTAGGAGTAGGACGGAGGAGAGGAATGTAGTTGTAGTGTAGCCTGTGGCGCCTCTTTACCTATTTCATCCTCACCCTCGTCCTCTCAATGCCAGCCTCAGCAGCGGGGCGTATATCACAGCGTCAGCCTGACTGCAGGGCTGATGTATGGACAGGTCGCAGTCTCCTTGAGAGCTTGTTAAAGGTGATTGAGATGGCTCAGTGATGGGGCTATCGGTTATGCTAGACACATAAAAAGGCTAAGAGGCTGTTGTGATGAATTCAGAGTGAATGGTCATCTTTAAAGACTTTTTTTTTACCTCAAATATAGATGTCAAAGCAATTCAGCACATTTTATATTATTCACACATGCTTGACTTTAAACACTAATCACTTTCATCTCACAGTTATTTTCAAATGATGTACTATTATTCAATACAAAACGTTTTCAGCTCAAATTGCTTAATTTCATAAAAGACAAATACCTTATATTTTACAATGCTGTCTAACACTTGAGGGTCTACTCCTTAACAGTGCATAATTAAAAAGACTCTAAGTGTCTTTGCTTTTATTTTATATGCATTTCTAACAGGCAGTATAACGGCATCTTTGAATAAAATAGTGTGATAGACCTGTCATCTGAGAAGATAATAATTACACAGTTTTATTAGGTCTATTCTTATATCGTGCCAAAACTGTTTTGTTTCTACCATTAAACTATAATGTGTTTTAAAGCATTGAGAGGGCTTAACAGTTTGTATACTTAGATCCTTAATGCAAGTTAGAAAAAGTAGAACAAATATTGGTCAAACAAGAGCAACAGAGGACACTTTCCTTTCCCAGGACAGCAGGACACGCAGTACTACAAATGTATGTTCACACAGTGGACGGGAGTGGTAGGGAAACTGTCCGTTTCAGCAGGAAGTGGCGAGCTCTGCAGAGAGAAGCTTGTTAAAGTTCAGAGCTGACAGATTTCCTCCTGTGTGTGTCCTCAGGGAGTGGTGACAGACGCCTCCCCCCAGACAGTGGCTCCCTCGTCACAGGAGTTGGCTGGACAGCAGCAACAGATTCAAGTAGACAGTTCTGCCGACCATGTTCCTGCTTACTCATACCAGTCCAAGTAAGTCACACGGGGAGGCAGGACACTCGCTGTCAGCCACTGTAACGTAATATCCTCTGCTTTCCTTTGTATTGTAAGCTTTATCAGTGGGCGGTATGACAGCATTTATTCAGAGACAATATAAATGTATATAGTATTTAGCTTCATCAGGTATTTTTATGCATTTTCTCCTGTCCTAAAAATATATGTTTACGTATATCAAGTATCAAATTCTGCTACACACTTTTTTCTCATTCCCAAAGTACATTTTTCAATAAAGCTATAAGCTAATTCCTGTCTGTGAATTGTGTTGTAAAGGGATTTTATTGTACTAGCATAAGCATTCAAGTTATTCTCTTTGACAAATAGTGATAGTGAATGCTTAGTACAAATCTAAATAAAACGTGAGCACTAAGACGCAGAAGTGTTTTGATAAATGACTCCAATTATTACTGGCGTCAGTTGCTCGTCATTTTAGCAGCACTTTTTTCCTTTGGGTCCCGATCACAACAGTTTAACGTGATTCATTCTGCTTCAGTCTTCTGACAGAGCTGTCAGCTGTCAGCTCTATTGCTTTTCTCTGTTTGTAATATTGTGCTTTGATTACAATGGCACCCCCCTCTCTCTCTCTGTGTTTTCTCCCCTTCATCAGATAGCATCGGCCTGAGCGAATGTTCCTGTGACAGCGTTGCCTTGAGACAGAAGGTGGCTGCACTGTGAATGTGAGGAAAAGAGAAAAGAAAGAGATTACTTCCAGATTGCCCAGGCACCAAAAAAGAGACACTTTTTTCATTTCCTACCTGGCCTACGTGAAAAAAAGAGAGGGGAAAAAATGCAAGAAGGAGACAAAGAGTGCTGAGGAAGGGGATGGGGGAATTGCTGGGCACAGTGCAAAGAAGTGAAATTGTTTAGTCTGGGAACCTGCCAGAAGGGCTGGGCTGAAGCTTGAAAAGTTTCTCAAAGAAAATTCTCAACCAATTAAAAAAAAATGGAAAAAAAATAAGGAAATAGAAAATTACAAAAAAAGGTTGAATGCGCAGGTAGGTGATGAAGTTTATTTTGTAATTAGAAAAGGGGAGTCAAGTTTGAAATACACACAGAGATTGTCTTCCTCAGATATTAAGCTACAATTTCTTTTCACTCTTTTTTATGTTCAAGTGTTACATTTTAGTTTTCTAGATATATTCAGAAACAAAGTGTTTTTTCTTTCTTGAATCTTCATGGCCTTAATTTGAAGGGCGGCAGAAACTTTTTACAGAGTTAAAGTCTGACGTCTGTTTAGAAGAAAAAAAAAAGCAAACAAAGTCAGTTTCTTGCACCACTCGGAGGGTACAAGACACTGGATACGTTGTTCTAAAGAGGAAAAAAGAATCTATCACATAAGCTGTACAGATTTAATAGAGAAGAGCTTTTGTTTTTTCTTCATTAGAAGAAAACTTTGATAATTATTATGTCAGAGGTAACTAAGTGTCAGAAGAAAACAAAATGTCTGTTGGGGGGAAAAGACTTGGGGGGGAGAAGAAGCTTTCAAGAGATTTTTCACCATGAGGAAAAAATGAAAACATAAGAAAAACATGCTGCATCGTGGATGCAGTCTGTTGCAAACGCTGAACTTGTTTTTTTATTATCATAATTATTATTTTAAATGGCAAAGTTGCTGTCAATGACATTAGTGCTTTTTATCTGCCACATTTTACCTTTTTATGAGCTTAAAGATGTTTTTAGCCCGCTTGCTTGTCACACTGCAAAAAGAAAAAAAGAAGAAGAAAAAAATGATAAAATGAATACAAAAAAAGCTACGGAAATTAATTCTGGCAGTGAAATAAAAACAGTAGATTCAGTAGGAGCTTACGGTTTAAAAAATCAGTGCAAAAGCAATAGAAGAAATTGTTGACAATTTCTGTAGTCTTTCCTAGTTGTGGATCAAATGCAGCCCATGGGTGGCCATTTTTATACCAAAGATGAAGAGACACTCTGAACCAGAGTTTTGTTTTTGTTTGTTTTCTTTTCCTTTCCATTTTTCTGTTTGATTTTGTTGTTGTTGATGTTGCTGTTGTTGATGATGTTAATGTTGATATTGTTGTTGTTGATGTTGCTGTTGTCGTTGTTTTTTATTTGACCTTGATGGCCGGACCAGTCCTTACTATCCTTCTTAAAATCTTCTTTTTTGCCGGGTTTAAGCTAGTTTTCCATGGTTGTCCAAGCTGTCACACACACACACACACACACACACACACACACACACACACACACACACACACACACACACACACACACACACACACACACAAACAAACATACATGTATCTAAACAGACACACTTAATGTAAAAACTAAAACACACACATCAAAAACAGTATTTAAAGTGTGATGCAACCAGTGGCAGTCCTACCAGAAGTCATTTTTCTCCTCCTCTACTTGTCTTTTCATTTATTTGTATGTCTCATCACTTTTTACGATGCTACACACTTTTGGTGCATTCCAACTCTGTCTTTCTCTTGGATCCTACAGGGAACACTTTAGGAATAGATTGGGGAACGTTGCTTGCTACGCTTTGTGGTTATTGACACATTGCTTCCCGCTTTATGCCCTTACTGCTTTCTGTCCTCAGTCTCTTTATCGCTTTAATTTAACTATAACTGGGAATCCCCCTGCTGCTGTTTGCCCTTCTGTTAATCTCTTCCATTTATCACCACACCTAGGTCACGTGTTTGAGTTACGTGCCAGGCATACCAGATGAGTGGTGTTTGCTGCATGTTAGACATCAGGTAAGTTGTTTAAAGTGTTTAGCAATGATTGCATAAACCTTATGGCACTTAAAGGTGGGGTAGGTAATTCACTTCAGAAACACTTTTTGTTATATTCCATGGAATGCTCTTAACATCCCGATAGCAATGAATAAATTAAATGCTTTGACAATAAATACATTAAAAAAATGTCATCTGTGGAAGCCGTAGTGCTGTAAAAAGCACGACCAATCATTTTAGCCAGCCCGGCTAAAATAACTGGATGGCCTACCTGCCTGTCAGCCTTGTCAGCCTTCCATGTGCCCTCATTGGTCATGTGCGCCTTCGTGTGTGTTGGAGGTGGGGCTCTGTGAGGAAGTCTTGAAGGAAGGGGCAGATTTTTTTCGGTGTAATTTTTTTCCTGAGTGATATGCGATGATCGGTTTCCCTCTCTTGTCTGTATATTAACATGAGGCTACCGCTAACAGCTGGTTAGCGTAGCTTAGCACAAAGACTGGAAACAGGGGGACAGTTAGCAAGATGCTATGCAAAGCTAACAAAAGCCTCCTACTTGCACCTCTAAAGCTTACTCATTCATATTTCTTACCTCATTATTTTATGTCGTCATCGTTAGCTGGACAAGCAGAAGTGACTAGAATGTCACGCAATTCCTTTAAAAGACGCTGACACTTTGTAACACTAACATGCATCATTGACCCACCACCAGCAGGGGGGGTCTTCACACCTGTGGGAACAGACCAGGCTCCTCACCAGCTTTAACTTGTCGATGGCAGCTCCTTCCTCTGCCCTGCCACTGAGTGTCAGTTACACCCCTGGTTGTCCCAATTTGTTGCACAAACAGCCCTGCACATCTTATCTGGTCTTTCCGTCCCTGAGCTGTGTGAGGGTTCCAATGATTTCATCTCTGAGGATTGTCCCCTGAGGAAATGGCCGGTGGGACAGCGGCCATTTCTGCCCCCATTATAGCAGCCTCTGTGTGTTGCTCTGTTGGCCCGTGCCGCTCGCTCTGCCCCACTGTGGGTCTACAGAGCTAAAAAGCTCTGTGTTCTCCCTGCTTCACTGGCACCATTAATGTGCCATGGCCAAGCCAGGGTCCTTTTGCTCTCATTTTCCCTAATTCTCTCCCTCCCTTCCTCCCCCCCTCTCTCTTGCGCTCCCACTGGAGTTTCTTCTCTTTATTGGATGGTGCAGAAGCAGAACCACAAACCAATTTCAGTCACTCTCGCAATGAGGCTTGACGGGCCCAATTTGTCTCCCTCCGGGGCAATAGGATCCACTCCAGTGTCCCTCAAAAGACCCCTTTCTTCCAGACTGAGGGAGCTTTTTGTTTGGTGACAATTGCAATTGAGCTCTTGCAGTTCATGTGACTCATTTAAATCTACAGTAAGTCCATTGCTCTATTTTTTTAGCATGATGGCGTGTTAAGCACACTACAGGCAAACGCCATCATGCGAGGCGGTGTTTGTAATTTACCGACGAGTTGTACATCGAGTGCCTTTTAACAAAGCTTCCAAATTATTCGAAATGATTTGTGTGAGAGCAAATGGAAGATTTTTTTTAATTCAATTGTGCTAAAGAAATGTGACACAATATGGAAGCTACTCTATGGTGCTAAAGAGGAGGCATTCTCAGGCGTTTGCCTTGACTGATCTCTGATGAGCCGGCCACTGTTGATCGTTTGGCCTTTACTCTTAACAGGCCTCCTGTCCACTTGACAACACAGACAAGAAACTGGCACACAGCTTCCTCATGTGAACTACACCTTTAAAGCCATACTCACATTATCTTTCCTCGGCCAGAAATTGCTAGTCATTTTTATCTTCCGTCCACCAATGAAGTTGAGAAGCTAAATGTGTCATTCAAACTGTCTCTCGTTGACTGTTAAGCTGTTTATTGTCCAATCAAATCAACACCTGCCCTTTTCCTTTCATCTGATCCACATTCCACATCTGCTTGAACTTGCCTCCAGGCTATGATTTGCTCATATCTCCCAATGAGCAAGTCTCACCCACATTACAGTCTTTAACGGCTAACAACTGACAAATGTTGGGTTTATGAGCTCCCGGGACTTTCCCTCATTGCTCATGTGTTTCGTCCTTGTTGCATTTGCTCAATGTAGTCCATCACTGAGTCCTTTTATGTGGTAAACTGCTAAACTTTAACTTTACCAGGTTTAAGCTAGTATGTGTGTGTCAGTGTGTCTGAAGAGTTCTTCTACTCAAACGTTTAGCTATGAATACAGCATTGCTAGCATAGACTTTTACAGCTGCTGCTTTTATAAAAGTAATACAGAGAGACGTTTTCGAAGCCTAACAGGGCTCATAATGCAGAAGTTGCACATCGGAGAGCAGAGCGTCCCACAGAAGGCCTGAGATTCAAAAGCAATGGCATTATGGGAAATATGACTACACATCGCCAAGAGATTATGGATAATAACAATGCACAACAACAAATATCAGATCTATTTTGCTAATGGAGATTCAAGATTGAAAATGTTAAGGCAGGTGTTTGCTTTTGGTGCATGGCGCCAATATTTCACAGAGATCTAAAAGATTACCCGACTGAACAAGCAAAAATGGCTCTCTCTTAATAGCACAATGGCTTAACGTACCTTTTCAGAATACAAATTTGGAAGTGTACAGAAGGCAAGCCGGCAATTTTAAGGAGGCTGTAGCAGAAAACGCTCCTCTCGCAGTCAGCCCATGTGTCAGCACAAACCAAGAGTCAGCTATACCTAGAACGTTTGTGTGTGTGTGTGTGGGGGGGGGGGGGAAAGAACAAGAGGCAGATCATTAGCTGCTGTTGCCGGGCAGAAGTGGTCAGAACCTGGGGTTTCTCCATGTTCTTGCAGCAGTATGTCCCGTGTACAGGTCTCCAAAAGGGGACGAGCTCCACCCATCACTCATTAGCAACACAGACTTCCTCTCTCACACCATGACCATCCCTCTCTCCTTTTCTACACAGTTGATCATTGTTCCAATCTCTTCTAACCTTAAGTCTTGTTTCTGGCTGACTTCCACACTCCATCGTGAGGCTGCCACCATTTGCAATCTGTGTCTAAGCACTGCTTGCATAGCTTTTCTCAAATTAAATTGTAGACCACCATTGCATTTAATATTTTTTGCATTATTTGTCTGCAGCAGGTTGGAGATGGAATGTCCTTGGCTTGCCACTAATATTGCTGAGTAAACCTAGGTCTAAGTGGTGCTCGATCACCCTTAAGTCTTGTTTTCCTTAAGTGTTATGATGATATTGTTCGCTGCTATAGTGCCAAAAAGAAAAGGTTTATGCAATCATAATGAGTGTTGAAAACGTTGAAATCCATTATTTATTTTTACAATATCTGAATTGCCTAAGTGCAGTAAATCTCACTCATCTGGTGCCTGAAGGAAGTGTACTGTAATCAGATGTTCAGAATGACTTTTCCTGACACAGGAAAAAGCAGAATACTGTCCACTAAAAGAATGGTGGGCTTGAGATTTTACCTACATCCTGGTCTTCTTCAGAGTCAGTTTTCAAGACGCGGTATTGACTGAACGTTTTGTTTCCATCCTAACTCACCGTTTTTCACAATAACTGCAGCCATTCTTAAATCTGACATGATCCAGACAGTAATTCATGTAGTGTTGCTTTCACACTATCACTCATTAGATGTATAACACGTCATACTCAGTTGTTGCAAAGGTTCCTTGTGAACAGAGTTGCATTCATTCCGCATCGATTCTCATGAGGAAAACAGTCGTTCAGAGTTGCTCTCCAATCCGGTCTCCCGTAGGGTATAAGGCTAACCGTGGCTCAATTACACATCATAGACCAGTACACACACATAATGCAGTGAGAAAATTGTTCAAACTGCCCCCCACAAGAGCGAGACCCTGTGCTTCATAATTGATGCTTCGGTCCACCTTTGATAAGAGCTATTGATTGGCCACACAACCCCAGGAGCCCTCGTGGAGTTCAAACAGCTCCCAGAGAAATATCCAACTACCACTAGGAAATGACTGACACAATTGTTAAGAGATAGCCAGCAGAGTGTGTTGGGCATTGGTATTCATTTACCAGATAAAAAGAGGAACTATTTATCAAGACAGCAGAGCGGTTTTAAAATGTTTTATTTTTGTTAGTTTTCTCTTTTTGTTCGTTCTTCACTTTTCCTTGTTTCAGCGCCGAGGAGGACATGGTCACGCCTCGCACACGCTGCTCAGTGTGTGTGTTATTTGAGAAACTATCTGTACATCTGTGGATGTTAGAATTTGACTTGGGTTATATGAGTTGTTTTTTTTTCTCTCTGATGAAGCTTTCAATAAAAAAATGTGGAAAAAAGCACCAAGTAGCGCTGTTATTTTTGAATCTGCAAGGCAAATGATTGTGTTTAATCGCAGCTAGCTGTTTTTCCCTGTCCTAAAGCGGTTATTATGAAGACATTTATTATGCATCAAGCCTCCTCCGGGGAACACACACGCACAGTACACACCATCTTACCCATAGCCTATTATCTATATGACTAAATTGCAGTGGGAAGCAAGAGGAAGCCCTATTATTATCATGCAGCCTGATGGCACCTGCTGCGTGTTGACCTTGGGTCCTCACATCCTCGCATAATTACAGCCTTTGCAAATGGAGCTAATACCTCTCAATGGGATTTCCCCCAGCAGCGCTCACACACACTTGATTGGGGCGTAAAGTGGTCATAATCAAAGATGGAGGAGCCTGCTGGAGGAAGAAGTGGATCGATGGCAATCAATGTTTCTCTTCACTCTCATTTAGGCCCAATCAATCGCTGTCCTTGTCACCTCCCAGGGACGCCTGTACTGCCAATACCACGGCGGCAGAGTAGCCAAGTTTCCACTGCGTGAGACAGCTCTGCAAGATCAAGGCAACAAGCCTGGCACTCGGAGACAAAGGACATCTTAATGGAGAACAATCGACTGCTTGGAGTGTGTGTGAAATTCAATGTGCATGATTCAGGACTGTGCAATGTGCAATGTGCATGATTCAGCCAGGACTCACCGATTCCTTTTTGTGCATCTGCTTATCTGGAAGTACCTCAGTGCTTAACAGAGATAAGTGTCTGTATGGTACATTTACAGCCATTTTTAAAATGTTACTACTCTGAGAGACTTCTTCGTGGTGCCATGGTTTTTTCTTCACCACACACTGGAGGCTGTTTAATCTGGGAAAATGCAGTGGGATCCTTTATCGAGTGAAATGCCACAGATTCAATCTCGCTCCCTTGGAGCCAGCAGCCTCCTTATCTGGACTTATAGAGATGTAGCAGCTAAGCACCACAAGGGTGCAGCATACCAACACAGATGTTATCTGCTGTGTTTATTTCATAGAGGAGTAAGGGGCCTTCCACACACACACACACACACACACACACACACACACACACACACACACACACACACACACCATCACTAGATACAGATCAAGGGCATCTCCACTGGGTGAATCACGACAACACAACCAGCCTTCCCATCAAGCATTTTGTCGTCTGCTCAATATATACGAAGATTAGGAAAGGAAATCCCGGATGTGCTTAAAGTAGGCATATATCTGTCCTTCTTCCCCTAAATGATCTGATTGATGTGCATTTATATAGGATAACCCACTCTTTTGAGGGGGTCTCTGAATGCAGCATTTGGTGTTGATAAGGGAGCTGATGGCAAATCCTGTGACAACTGTGAATGATCAGGAAACTGACAAATCCTATGTCCATTTAAAGGTGCAGACCAGACAGAGTACATTTAGAATACCCTTTTGTTCTCTACAGTACAATCAAAGCTAAAATGATGGCAGCACATTATTTGGATGTCAGTTTGTGTGTTGTAGTAACACAGCCCAAAGACAAATCATGAAAATAGATGCAAATGTCACCTTTCTTTGCTCTTCATCAGGCTGTCATCATTGCCACCCCAGCACTCTCTAAAATGTCCTGATGTGATAAACATGACCCATATGGTACAAAACAAGCACCAGTGGATTGTTTGTAACCATCCTTTTTGTTCTTGATTTCTATTTGCCTACAACAGATTATCTGTACAGGCCTTCAGGGTGACGATGTTTCAGGTTCCATCTGGTTTAACACGATTGATTTTTATTCGAAAATCAATTTAAAGGGGGGACCTGGTGAAATTGTGTTGATTGAGTCTGGGAACTTTCAGGACCCTGAGGTGCAGGCAGGTGTGGTCCGAGTGGCTTTGAATCCAATCAAGAATCAGTGATCGTCAGCAAACACAAACACACCTGGCGTTCTCTTATAAGCTCATAGCCCACTAAGAGAGACGTAATTAACCGAAGTGTGTGGAGGGGGGGGGGGAGGTGTCTGCGCTGCTGAGCTCAAATCTGAATAATGCTCAAGAGGGGTTTGGTGTGTTTTGAGGGGGCATTCATTATTTGCTTATCTAGGAATATGTGAATGCAACATTAGGCATGTCAAAGATTACCTACCGAGAGCTAAATGTGGATATCTCATTAGTGAAGAATGCATGATTCATATTTATACACTATCTAAGTCAGATTCAGGACGAAATATTGCATTAGAAACATGTATATCATTTTGCCACAAATCTGACATTTTGGTTTTACAGTTTAATTGTGGTGGTTTTGGTCATCAGTTTTAATACATTTATATTTTCCTAATTTAATGTGCTGAGATGTGGGATTGCACTGATGTGGGAATTAACACCAACAGTCAGATTTGAACAAACCGCCAGGTTAGCCAAACATACTCAGTAACTGGAGTTGAGCGGTGAAATATTAACCAACTGTCCGATCATTACAGTTTATAGATTAACTGTCAGTAATTTCCACAGTGAGCGCACACACTTTTGCAAAAACGGATTATTACAGATTTAATGTGCAGTCCTGCTTGATTTAACTCAACTTTAGCTACATTTTTATAAACTAAATATGTTCAATTGTAAATTGGGCCTGCAGGCGGGATCCCAACTATTCCAGGGGAGGCTCAGTGTCAACAATTTTTAAATAATTGATTAGTTATTCAAATATGTCATCACATAGAATATCCTAATTGTGTTTGATTTGGTTAAATATATACAGGAGTGTCACCGTTTTCCCCTTCTTTCCCAAACTCTAAATCTGCATTACTTTTGTTTGAACAACTTGTCAAATTACCATGTGTTATATGGAGAAATTACTCTTAGGAAAAAGGCAAAACCAGTGCCCAAAAAACAAGGAAAGACATGCAAACCACTGAAGCAAACGTCTTTCATTTTGAAAGAAGCGAGAGGAAGTTGCTCATCGTTATTATAGAGAAAGTCAGCAGGGGGAGGAAGTGGAGTTGGTGAAGTTCTGCCCCCAAGTGGCCAAATAAACGGATGAATGCAGCTGGTTATTGTTCCATCGGCTTAAACAGCTTCATCAAGTGTAGCCCTTTAGCATGTATTGATAAACAATGTGTGAACATCTTGGCCATGTGCTCCTCCAGCGGACAGAAGAGCATGCTGTAAAGACGGATGTCTTGCGCCACATTTACAATAGAAAACCTGTGGCGACACACTCCGACCGACAGCAGCTCCATTTCAATATTCCCATGATGAATCACTATCATTGTGTAGCAGGGATTGGGAGTCCAGCCAAGGCCTAGTGAAGTTTACAATGACATTAGTGGAACAATTGTATCCCTGGAGATCCTGTGCAGAAGGCATTGTTCCCAGGTGGCACAGCAGCGGGTCTCTCGAGGCTCAGCGCTGTTCTCAGTATGCAGAGGACAATACGTGTTAACCGAGGATGTGAATAACTTTTACATTAATTCACCACTTCCTGTCAATAACCGTTATGAACCAATGAGTGTGACTCAAAGCATGCTGTTTTTATTTTTATTTGAGCAGTCCGGTGAAACACATGTCCTCATGTTTCTCCGAATTCCAATTTCCTGAAAAATGTGGCTTATTTTCAACCTGCTTGTTTACCTAAAATCACATGACTGTTTGAAATAATGTCCTTCAAGATCAATTCCTATGGTTTAAAAACCAGAATGGTCTTTTATGGTAACTTAAGAGTCAAAAGGGAAACAGGTGTTTCCTCGGACAGCTAAGATGCAGAGGACAGGAAGGGAATCCTTTCATGTTATAATGATTGATTTAAATATAAGGTTGTAGAGGTTATGAGAAAATAGAAATAAACAACTTCGATCTATGACAGCACAACTTTTTTTATCGTTTATTTACCAGCTAAAAACCCAACAAGAGAAACATTGGACACAGTTACTCTTAACACCATGTTTCCATAGTAACACACTGGCACTGTCCAACTGTTACTGTAAAGGTAAAACATCACAGAAGAGGCACCGAAGATAATTGCTCGAGTTTAACCAAAGATAAATATGAATGATGTCCTTGGAGTCTTCTACAGTAACACATTCGGTAGTGTTTTCCATTTTACTAGTTTTTTTTAGAACAAGCAAATGGTTTCTCTTTATTCTCTGCTTGTTTACATGTCAAGTCATTCGGCATTCTCCAAAATCTACAGCTTGGAGATTTGTATTTACTAACTGAACAACATTTGTATCTGCTCAGGCGCTGTGAGCTTTTCTTCTATAGTCCCATCTGTATGATTTGCATCTGGTTTTCAGCTGTTAGAGGAGTCATGCCAGTATAATATCAGCTGAAAGAGAGACACTAGTGCTGAAGCATTCAACAGACGACAAACAAATCTAAATATTAAATGTAATTCCAGTAATAGAAATAATACACATGTGATTAGCTGTGTGACTGTTTGGATAGGAGCTTCCCAGCAGGTCGGACCTGAGAGATGACCTGTACTCTGTTTCCCAGTGAAACTGAATCTGCAAGAGAAAACAATTACACCAGCTTCAACTTTGTGTCTGTTTGAGAGAGATAAAGAGAGAGCGAGGGGGGACTGGAGAGTACAAGCTTCTATACTGATATGCAGCAAAAACTTACAGTCATGTATTGTACTGTGTAGATGCTCAGAATAACACAAGTTCTACCTGATGTTCCTAAAACATGGACATACTTCTCATTTAGCTAATAAGTTATTTCAAAAGGGAGAATAACTCAGGCAGTCAAAGTATCTTTCGAATATTATTGCTTGAAACATATCGACTGTTTGAGCAATTTAATGATCTGTTATTGAAACATCTCCTCGACACGCCATCACGCTGATACTGAACGGACATTGCCAATTCTTTACTTACAGAATGTCAGCATCAAACACCTTCTGGTTAGATTTAGCTGTAAAACACAGCACACAATCAAGAGTTATCACTATTCCAAAAAATGAAAATGATACAACATTTTCACATTGTGAGGTTTTAAAAAGTCCACTTGAGGATTACA